AATTTGGGAGACAGTAAAGTTATTCAGTGGTAAATGGTAACGTAATATCGTAAACATGTCAGAATAATAGAATGAGAAAAGGGGTTTAATGTCCACTTGACACATACTTGGTCATCTCTGTATAATTTAATTCCACAATTCGTGTGCGTGTAGGTTTTTTTTTAGCAGTGGGAGGAACCGAAGGACCAAGAGAAAACTCGCAGGGTTCGGCAGGCGACCCTATTCCTTGCCACGTACTCAGTGTCAGACCTTGTGATCTAAAACCCACGTGATAGATCACCTGTTCACCCATTCCCCAGGTAGGAATAATTAAAGAGTACTTACACTCGATCTAAGATCAGCGGACAGATCTTGTATACCCGAGACGTGTTTATCGAATCTTTCTCTAGCCTGCGATACTGTCTCTTTATCACCATAGCGACCTAATCTACTCAATATAATACCACGTAATATAGCTTCATCTTCTGTAAAATAAACAAAAATATTTAAATTACCACCACAAAAAATGTATCTAGAAGAAAGTCGTCCTCCTCTTGGAATAAATAATCTTACCAGTTCTGTTACACAAGGGCAGGGGGTAGGAGGTTAGGGCCGGTTGTAGAAAATGTGTGGTCCAATTTGCGAGGCCCGAAGTTACAGGATATGAATACATTGCAGGATATGAAATGAAATGAAATGAAATGGGGTTTAACGTCCTACTGTTTTGCTCCGAACTGGGCTAATGAAGACGGGCATACGCCATACAGTGTGCTATGAGGGAAATTTTGCCTGGACAGCGACACTACGGCCTACTCTTATATCGAATTCCAACTGTCAGGGGATCTTTTACATGCCCGCCAATGTGTACACGGGACCTCGGTTTTTCGTCTCATCAGAATGACTAGACAGCTGTCCTTGACAGGCCCTCCGTCCTGCATCACTGACAAGGGGAAACCACGCCGGAAAATCTGGATGAACTTTCTCGGCCAATGCAGGGATCGAACAACCGACCTCCAGGCTAGCGAGCCAGCGCCTTACCCACTTAGCCATCGTGATCCCCCTGCAGGATATGAATAACTTTAACTGGGCCTATATTCATTTATATTTAAGGCCAACAATGTTTTATTTTATAATTAGTAATTAATTAATACATGTAGACAGTGTATATGTTATGTGATAGTCTGGAAAGTAGGGTAGGGCTTCAGGTTGAACGTCCACTTCCACCTTGGGTGATATCACAGACATGTGTTTCCTGAGAAACTTGCCAGAGAAGCCAAATAATAGGTTTAGTCTAACATGATGATTTATTTGTAACAGATGTCCAGGCTGTTATATATTTACCTCCAGGCTTGTCTTCCCAGCCGATCTTTTTAGCGACATCTTGCATGAGTGATATGATATATGATTTATAGAGATCATATGATGATGTATATTGTAGAATATTGGCTAGTTTAGATAAGTTAGATGCTAGAGTGTTCCACACCGTACAGATCGTCTCATCCTTATACGCTTCAACTACTGTTAATACATCGACAGTTGGTGTCATACCACACTGAGCCTGTAATAAAAACAATACATCGTTAACCCTTTAACATCATTAACCCTTTCGCTACAGGTCACCAGTCAAACAATACATCATTAACCCTTTCGCTAGGCACCGATTCCCACAGAAAGTTTATGAAGTTTGTGATGACCTGGCCCCAAGTTCGCAAAGTATTCTCAGCCTTAAGTTTATAACTTACTCAAATTGTTTGCCTTATTTTAACTAAAATATAGCCCTTAATAAAACTTTTGTTTTAATGTATCAGATATATCAATAAGAAACTATGTGCAAAGTTTTGTGTTTCTGGATCAAAGATATTTCTCATAAACAGTGAGTAAATTCTTATGTATGAGAATGCTTTGTGAAATTGGGGTATAGTGAACGAGCCCTACCCTTAATGAAAATGTACATGAATATAAACACTGTGCCTATTTCTATTCTAATAACAGAAAGTTTATGTAGTGTGTGATAACACAGAGAGACTGAAATGGGATTTGCCAACAACTTGACACAAAGTTGGCTCATTTTATTTCAATGGCATTTGACTTGATACTGCTTTAGTTTTATTATTGCCTGCAATGTTCATGTGTATTGTTCATATGATTTGTGTATTGTTCATGTGTGATGTGTATTGTTCATGTGTGATGTGTATTGTTCATGTGTGATGTGTATCGTATGCAGGTTTGTCTTCTATTTGTTTATGTGGTGTGGATCTCCTTCAGTCCTCCACCTACTATAAAAATATAACGTGAATATTTACGTACGAGAGCGAAGAGATCTTCCTGTAGTCCGAGTCGATCCCGACATGGTAATGATTTATCTTTTATAGCTGGTATCAAATTATGTAACATATCTGTTGTATAGTCTACACGGTATACACCACCATTACCACAGTTTATCTAGTAAATATACAATTTATATAATAAATATACAACAATATACAATTTATATAATAAATATACAATGTATTAAATATACAATATAAAATGTATATAATAAATATACAATATAATAAATACACAGCAATATACAATTTATATAATAAATATACAATGTATTGAATATACATCAATATACAGTTTATCTAAGTAATAAATATACAATTAATTGAATATACAATGTATAGAGTATACAAAATGAAATGGAGTTTAATGTCCTACTGCTCTGCTCTGAACTGGTCTAATGAAGACGGCAAGGTTCAAAGGACAATATTGGTGTCAATCATTATCACCATCACATATGTGATAGAACTGGTTAAACCCGTTCCAAATATAATTTTATCAAAGAGATCATTGTTACGATAGATGAATAATGAAGGTTTCAACAAACAGAAGTGACGAACGCAAAAGGAAAACACGAGTTATCCTTCTATATAATTAACTGAAATTATGAGTGATTACAGATACATGGGCAAATTTTTTCTCACTAATAATTTCTTCGAAGACCAAGAGTTTTTGTGTCAGACTGTGAGAGAATATCTGTCACTGGGATTCAAAACCCAAGAGATTTTGGATGAGTTTCCAGTGACATGACCACTTGCCTACCATGGCCCCTATCAAATAAAATAGGAAAACTGCACCCAAAACTAAGACAGAACAAACAACAATAAGATATGAGTAAATACCTTAACCCAATGATCAGGTTTCACATCTGATATATCTATACGAGTTGATTCTCCGTCTAATAATATCGTAGTTACTGGGGAATTCGGCGACGATGTTGTGGATATCGTAATTGGTACCAACCAAGTTAAATTCTCCCCTAAAATAACAAAATATCTCACATTCAACATTCTATGATTTCAGTTGTTGTTACTTTTTAAATCAGTTTGTCGCAAACTTCTTAATGTAGTAATATTGTTATTAAGAGCTAATCATGTTAAACATACATTATGCAAGAGCTAACTCTGACTATTACAGTTCTTTCTTTAGGCCTGAAATGTTATCTAAATTATTAATTAAAAATTAATTAACTGTTCCAGACAATAATCAACTCTTGATGTCATCGCTAGCCTGTCATATTTACTGGATTAGAATCCAATCTGCTGCTCATTGATGATTAAATCAAAAAAAGGATAATTTATCGCACTGACTTTAATAATGATGGAGGCTAGGCCCAAATTTCAATCGCTAAATTCTAGGTTCAGTGTGGATCAATCTGACTGAAATTTTCTGCAAATTCGCTTTACATTAGCTAGTTTTTTACTATTATAGTGAGAACTGCCAGCTTTTTATCTGATCTCCCATAATGTATCTTTAAGTGATCCAATTAAGAGAAAAAACAATGGATATTGTAAGACTGTTAAACTGTTGAAGTTCTAAATTAATATACACCAATGAATTACAACAAACTATTCATTTTCGCTTAAAAAATAATCAAATAAAAAATCACTGACATAACATTTATGTAATTTACTGAATGAATCGTGTACGTATAGTTGTATCCGCGTTTTATTTAAAAGTACGAAATTCGCAAAAGGGTGCAGGGTGAAATCGATAGACCATTGGACAATCCTGCTTCATAATAAATTTGTTTACCTGTTCCAATTTTACCGTCGGAAAAGAAACGTTTCTGGCTGATTGTTAACGTACATGTATCACCTTTTTGTTTTCTTTCTACCTGAAAAATTAAAAAAAAATAATTAAAAATATCTATAAAAAATAAAAAGATAGGTTGCCAGGCAATGAAACATACACCCACACTAAAATCTGATCAAGAGTAACAACTCATTAAGTAATTATCAGAAAATCATTAGAATTTTTTTGGCCCATGCGAACATTTAGTATACAAAACATTTAATATCATGGATTTAGCTGTTCAAAATCATTGAAAATCAATACACTTGTTCGTCTCAAGACTTCAAACTCTGTGTATCACTCTAAAGTCAATCGAAAGAATTATACATAGGCATAAACACGGTCTATAAATATAAAATCATGACCTGGTGATCTAAAACAATGTGTATAAATTTGAAGTCAATGAGATAAACTTTAGCCCCTAGAGTGCCCACAACATATTCCAAAGTGATCAAGCGCCCTAACTCTGGCAGTAATTACTGGAAATTGTTGAAAATCCAAAGGCTTCTTGTCTCATATATTAACTTTAGCATCTAGAGCGTCCACATTCGGATATTAACATTAGCGTCTAGAGCATCCACAAGTAATTTTGGATGACGGACCGATGGCTGCACCGAGACAATATTTCAATGTGGGCGTAAAAAAAATAAGGACAGATTAATAGCAAAATTGTCGCCATCATTGCAGAATAACAAATTTGTGACTGTTAATAGTGTTTCCCATGGCTGCGAACTTGATAGCCGAGTCTAGTGTTCAGTTCCTTTTGTCAAGAAACATTTAGTTACTTCCCTATTTCTCGGGAAATATCACCATAAAAATAAAAACTGGCTGCTTTTTTTTTTTCAGTTAATATCAATATTTTTATACTTTTTATCCTAGGACATTAAAACTTCTTCAATGTTTTAATAAATAGTGACAAACTTTTCGGTGAATTTGGCTACCTCTAATACAGGATATCCCATTTGTTTGGTCCAGGTATCCATGACGTTTTTAACAGGTTTACCACTTGACTCAGCCAACGCTTTCCATAAATCTTCTGTCTCTGCGTTTTTATAGGCATGACGAGATAAATAAATATTCAAACCTTTCCTAAAATCCTGTAATTATAAAAACAGTCTAAATAACAAGACTAACATATGGTTCAACAATCTTATTTTAATAATATGTACACTTGCACGAGTTCGGGTAATTACAGCAGGACCCGGAGAAAACACTTTTGAGAGAGAGAGAGAGAGAGAGAGAGAGAGAGAGTGAGAGAGAGAGAGAGAGAGAGAGACTCGACACAAACTAGGTCATTTTGGGACTAGCATATGGTTCAATTTTATTTCAATAATTCGCTTGCCCGTAGGAGTCTTTAACAGTGGGAGGCAACTGGAGGACCCGGAGAAAACCGATGAAGTTGGACAGGCGACCCTACTCCTTATCACGTACAACCGGGGAATCAAAACTACGCGGGGAATCAAAACTATGCCAGTTGATTGAATGACAGACTTTATGATACAGCGCGCACATGCTAACTATTCAGCCATCCAACCCCCACAACATTTTTAAGTAACTTGTATTCTATGTATTCTATGTGATGTCATGTTTCAATCTCAATCAGTTACTAATAGGGGTCACGGTGGCTAAGTGGGTAAGATCATGGCTCTCTAGCCTGGAGGTTGGGTGTTTGATCCTTGCATTGGCTTGGCCAAGAAAGTTCATCCAGATTTTCCGGCGTGGTTCCCCTTGTCAGTGATGCAGTACAGAGGGCCTGACAAGGACAGCTGTCTAGTCGTTTGGATGGGATGAAAAACCGAGGTCCGATGTACACATTGGTGTGCACGTAAAAGATCCATTGAGAGTTGGAATTCGATATAAGAGTAGGCAGTAATAATAATAATAATAACTAGATCTGCTACTAGATCCCATGCAGATATGAAAGCTTTCATATTCATCGTCACGTGACATGGATTATATCAAGTATCTTGAAAGAAAAAAGAACAACAAAAAACAATTATCAAAATGGGTGAAAAAGTTGCGAAGTTACAAGTCTAAATATAGTGAGAAACATTGCACCCGGAAAACAAAATAATCTGAAAACTAAAGGGAAATAACTCAGACTTGGATTGCTGTAATCGGAATAACTTTCCATTCCAGAAGTTTCAGAAAAATGGATCAAGCCGTTTAAAAACGGGACGGATGAGAACATGAAACGAAAATGGCGGGAAAGAACTAAAAAGTGGCAGGAAAATATCAAAAAAATAAATGAAATAACTTTGAACGGAACTAATATTGTTTAAATCAGATTGACCTTAGCTGTTCGAATATTTAGGTTAAATTTGTAAATTTTGAAAATAAAGGCATAAATTGTCCTACAAACAACTTTGTCGGCACGTAAAAGGACAATAGCGTAATACGAAATTTTTTAATTTTTAAACACCAAAAAATCGATCTTGATCCCGAGCTATCCTGGGGCCTGTTCACGAAATTTTAACTAAGATAAAATCCAAATTTTAGTAATTTGATTGGATAATATTAGATTGATTTTAGTGCTTAGCCAATCAAAATTGAAGTATCTACTAAAATTTGGATTTTATATTTAGTTAAGATTTCGAGAAACAGGGCCCTGAAATGCATTAATTTCAGAAATAAGAGACGCATTGAACGAATGCAGGTATCACCTTGAATTATTCAGGGCACCTAGGTACCAACGTGAAAATTCCTCGCCGGAATTTGGTAGTCATGGTACCTTTGGTTCCAGCGTGGCGCATGCGCGAAGTCAAAAGAAATTAAGGTCAATTTTGGAATTTTGGGTATATTCGGAGTGATTTGGTAAGTGACGGTGGATCGGGGACCCAGATGGATCTAAGATGGCGGTCATAATACAATATTATAATAACGTTGACGAATGAGCAAATTTTCGCGACCGCGGTTGATTTGCTCTCCCCAGGCAACGTTCCGTTGGTCCGATTGCCTTCAAATTTGCACAGAATGTACCTTGGGATTCTAGCTATCACATATTAAAAATAGAAGAGTGTGGAATTTCGAGAACGTTGAAAATAAATTTGAAGCCCACCCCCACCCATCAATGTTTTTTTTTGCTTAAAAATTTGCCGTATTTTATCGATTTTTATTGTTCTTGATATTTGAGCATTTTCTCCTTTTAATATGTGATAAATATCATCGCGGCGCAGCCAACTGCTAGAAATTCCAGAGATTTTGACCACTGGAAGGATGCTTTAGCAGTCAAAAAAGGTCAAAATAGGCAATTTCGGATTTTAGTGTCGCAAACATCGTTGCAGTCATTTTAAAAAATTGTCTTTTAAGGATAATGTGTATAGTAATAATACCTATCACATACGAAAGGCGATAAAATCCCTTTGCATTTGCAATTTCAAAACTAATTCAAACTAATATTAAATTCCAAAAAATCGTTTTTTTTGCTAAAACTCTTTTTTTTTTTAATCGGATCAAAATGAGAGTAAAGTACAGAATCCGGGGTGGTAATAGGCGTATTGTGTCCAAATTTCATGGTTCTCGGACAATCCGTTCCGGTGTCGTGGCGAAATTCCCCCTTTTCCCCCTTACGGAAGCCGTATCTGGACTTAGAAAAAATGAGATACCACCGACCTGGAGCCGTGCCAAGAACAAACGACTTGAAGGAATGCAGGTATCGCCTTGAAATTTTCAGGGCACCTAGGTACCAACGTGAAAAGTTTCTAGCTGGAATTTGGTAGACATGGTACGTTTGGTTCCAGCGTTGCGCATGCGCGAAGTCAAAAGCAGCTAAATATGTTTGTTATGAACGGATTTTTTTACAAAATGGACCTATCTCTTCGAAACTTCGGCTAACCCCCCATTTCCGACCTCGGCGCATCCAAGAATTGTCTCCAAATTAAAATCGAACACCTAGTTCCATCTCTATTTTCTTGTTTTACTTTATGTACCCCCGGGAAAATGGCCACCGCTCGCCCCCCATGGGTCAGGCCCTAAAATTTCTTGTTTGGAATTGTGCTTGGGACCATAAGCCAGATACCCGGTGAGTTTCAAGTTGGTGTGCACGATAGTAGGATTGTGACGCGCATGCGCGGGCCTACACTTGAAAACAACCTTGTCGGCACGGAAAACATCAAAGGCGAAATTCGAATTTTTGAAATATTCAAATACCAAACAGTCGACCCATATCCCGGCTATCCTGAAATAGGAGACGTATTGAACATACTATGCCCTATTGTGTTTGTTTAGAAGACCGTAAATGTTGATTTTTCGCTATTTTTCATATTCACTTCAAAATGACGGCCATCAGTTGACCTAAATCAAAATTCTGCTCTGAACGTTTTTTAGGCATTCCTTCAGGGATTCAGAAAATATAACTCCCATGTCTGTAAGTGCAATATCGCAAAAGTTATTAGGACTTTTCACGTTTCAAGATGGTGGCATTTCCGGTTCGATCGACAAACTCCATATTTTGTATATGAATCAGTAATTACTTGTCTAGTATCGAAAAAAAAATTAGGTCATTCTGACCTATATTTCGATGATTTTTTTGAAAATTTTGATCCTTAATTTCATTAAGGGGAGATAATTTAGCAAATTTCTAATCTTATTTTTTAAGTCGCATCAGTAAGATCTACTTACATGCTAAATTTCATGAAAATCGTACAACTATTAAAATTGGTTATAAATACCGGTTCGAAATCACAGCGACGAATTTTAGAAATTCGAAAATCTGAATCTGCAGATTTGAAGTAATTGTCTCAAGGTACTCAAAGAAAAAAGATTTAGTCAAATAGGTCAAATAGTCACAAAGTTACAGCATTGCAGGTCAAATGCATTCATTCGTAAAATTAGGTGATTTCGGATTCGTAAAACGTTTTGAAAATATATTTAATCAACAGCCACCACCCATTTTTGGGGGGATAGGTAAAAGTTTCAGAAAGATCCTACGGTTAGATTCTGAGAAATCCGATTTGTGGATAAAACACAAAAAAACAAAATAATAACAATAATAATCTTAACAGAAACAATAATAATATTTACCTCCGCACCAAGATAATCACTCAACATTCTGATAATAGAGGCACCTTTACTGTACGATATACCATCAAATATCTCATCTATTTCTGATGGATGACCAACTTTTACCTATATATACATTAATATGAAGGATGAATAAACCACCTCTTATTTCAACCTAAAGTCTGTTTTCGTATTGCTATTGTGCGGTGATTTTTAAATATCTATTAAATTAAAATCTACTCTCTCCGTCGACACCATCGTTTCATCTAGCTCCTACACGGATCTGTTGGCGTGGATCAATCGGAAGAAAAATAGGCCCATCAAAAGATTTCAGAAAAACTTATAGGTGTTACTGGTTTGTGTATATATCCTATATATCATTTGTGGACAATGTCGAATGTTGATAACATTTTTAATTCATGGGATTCCTCTATCCCTAAAATTTCCAATTGATGGGATTTTTCAGTTTATGGGATTATGGAATTTTCAAATCATATGGTAATTAAACCATTTTTGCCTGATGTATTGCATCCAGATTTTCCGGCGTGGTTCCCCCTTGTCAGTTATGCAGGACGGAGGGCCTGACAAGAACAGCTGTCTAGTCGTTCGGATGGTACGGAAAACTGAGGTCCCGTGTACACATTGGCGTGCACGTAAAAGATCCCTTGACAGTTGGAATTCGATATAAGAGTAGGCCGTAGGGCCGCTGTCCAGGCAAAATTTCCCACATAGCACACTGTATGGCGTATGCCCGTCTTCATTAGCCCAGTATAGGAGCAGAACAGTAGGACGTTAAACTCCATTTCATTTGATTTCATTTCGCCTGAAATATTGCTTTTAGATATTCAACTTTTACATAAATTTATTTTCTATTTTCAAAATGATTTCATAGTTTGAAGCACGAATACCAGTTTATAATGATTACCTCAATAGGATGGCTGTTGTGGAGGGAATCTAATTGAAGGGCTCGGATTAAATTATCATTAACGAAAGACGTCCAGATATCCCATTGTGGAAAACAATAATCAACACATAGATACTCGATCCACGTCGCAAAACCTTCCTTTAACCACAGATCAGTCCACCAATCCTAAAAATAGAAATAGGGGGATTATAAATATTTTAGTCAGGGACCTGGGAGATAATGAATTTTAAAGTCAACGGAGATTATGAATATCAAGGCCAGGACCAAGATTATAAATATGAAGGTCATGGTCTCAAAATACAAATCATGAGTCTCTTAGTCCAGCTATATATAGCTATTTGGCATCTTTCCAAATTATGAATTTTTCTTACTAAATTATAGAAATCACAATTTCATTTTAACAGACCCCCCCCCCCTAATTAAGGCCAATTTCTATCCAGGATCCTACATGTAATGTACGTTTCAGCAAGTCCCTAAAGTAGGTATAACAATTAATTTCTGTCATATTCTAATGGAGAAGAATGTCCTTGTTGGAGTCGGGTGCTGCACACATATTTTACAAATGTTTAAATTATTCTGTGTAATAAATAAAATATTACCATAGTAACCAGATTACCAAACCATTGATGAGCTAATTCATGTCCTACAACTAACGCTACATGTTGTCGACTGACAGCCGACGTATTCTTGGGATCAACGAGAATCAACGCTTCTTTAAACGTCAATAAACCCCAGTTCTCCATAGCACCTGTTAATATAAAACAATGCTATTATTGACACGTTAAAATCTATGGACGGAGGAGGGGCTGAATAGTTTAACGTGTGCTTTTGATCATAAGGTCTGTCATTGAGTTAACTGACATGGTTTTGGATTCCCCACTTGTAGGAGTAGGGTCGGCTGTCAACCTTGTGTGTTTTCTCTGGGACCACTGGTTTCCTCCCACAGTTAAAGACCTCTACACACAAGCGAATTATTGAAATAAAATTGAACCATTTGTTAGTCCCTAAATGATGTAGTTCGTGTCGAGTGGACGTTAAACCCAGTTTCTTGAGACAGGTGTGTCTGTTGTTTCTGTGAGAGCCCCTGTAGAACAAGCGCGTGGTGGAGTTGGGATGAATGTAGAATGTATCATCAGTGAGCAACATTATTTTAAACAATTCCCAATGAAACAACATTCAAACCAAACCTGGCCATTCAAGTATTGTTCATGTGGAATGTTAAAGTTACCCCAAACCCTGCCAAATTACAGAAATGGAGGTGAGGGATGGGTGTATATTGATTTGAAATGGAGAATTGAAGGGGCAGGGGATGTTTATTTGAAATGGAGGAAGGCAAGGGGGATGTTTATTTGAAATGGAGGAAGGCAATGGGCAGGGGGTATATTTATTTGAAATGAAGGAAGGCAAGGGGGCAGGGTGTATATTGATTTGAAATGGAAGAAGGCAAGGGGGATGTTTATTTGAAATGGAGGAAGGCAATGGGTAGGGTGTATATTTATTTGAAATGGAGGAAGGCAAGGGGGCAGGGTGTATATTGATTTGAAATGGAGGAAGGCAAGGGGGCAGGGTGTATATTTATTTGAAATGGAGAATTGAAGGGGCAGGGGGGTATGTTTATATGAAATGGAGGAAGGCAAGGGGGCAGGGGGGTATATGTTTATTTATAATAAATAAAGTTATTCACCTATAGCAAAATCTGCAACAGAGAGTAAATCTATTTTAGGTAGCATGTACTTAATACCAAAATAATCTTTATAGAATGGAAGGGTTTTCACGGCAACCTGAAAAAATAAATAATCTTTATAAAACAGTAGGGTTCTCATGGCAACCTGAAATAATCTTTATAGGATGATAGGATTCTCATGGCAAGCTGAAATAATCTTTATAGAAAGGTAGTGTTCTCATGGCAACCCGAAATAATCTTTATACAATGGAAGGGTTGTCACGGCAACCTGAAATAATATTTATACAATGGAAGGGTTGTCACGGCAACCTGAAATAATCTTTATAGAATGGTAGGGTTGTCAAGGCAACCTGAAATAATAACATGAAAGCTTCGTTCTACAAATTATGATTCTGATCAGAACTTTCACAACCAATTCCTGGATCGAAGCTGGAAAGTCATGACCAGTGAGCCAGCTTCTCATTATTTCCTTTAACATACCAGAATCCTAAGACAACAAACACGATAATATATACTTACATCGAGAGCAAATCGTCCTTGTTCCTTTTTACCAGCAGGCGTATAAATACGAACTCGGATCTGATCTTTATCAAATCCTTCAACATAATCGTAATCTCCGACAGTAAACGCTATTAAATACGTGGACATAATAGGCGTGGTTTCAAACGAAACTATCTTAACGTTTTTATCACTGGAATGTGGTGTGTTGGATTTTTCAGGCTGCAAATAAAATAAAGTACAGTATACAGTTGTATAATACAGTTGTAACCTAATTTAGTTATAAAAATTCCAAGACTACCACGAATAAAACTCCTTACTAAAGTGTTAGTAGTTGGTGAAGAATTGCTGGAATAGTGCAGGTCAGCATGGATCTCAGTGGGGGAGAAATAAAGTTTTGTAAAAATACAAACATTTAAAGTTTTGTTTCAGAAAGATTTTACTCCATGTTTCTTTCGTGGGCATTATATTTACAGCATCTAGTTAATTACAAATGTAAAGATGTTTTTGACAAACACATCTTTTCTTATAGCTGGAGCACATTTCATGTTGTCATGTTAAGTCCGGCCCACACCGCCACGACTTGCCCAGACTCTACCCAACGCAACGTCTTGTCTCAGATAATCAGTGCAGTGTTGTGGACAGTCCCACGACCACGATTCATGTTTAGTCGTAGTCGGATGCAGTTGGATGCAGTCGTAACCCATCGTGTTTGTGTGGACACTCACACGACACGATCAATTGTCTTACTGTTGTTTAGCCAATCAGAGAGTAGCATTTAGTCATGTGACTGAAAGTTGGTGCCGCTGCAACCACAAACTGCTCAACCGCTTTCCTTTTCGACTACGGCGGCGTCTTCGCCTCCGCAACAACAGCAAAACCACTGAAACTGCAGCATATTTCTTTTTACGAGCTTCTGGTTTACTTTTGGAATCACTCGCTAGAGGGAAGTGGTGTAACTCATGACACATAATCTGTGAAAGTCGGGCCTGTGTGGACGAGTACCTTCTTAGGCAAGTGAAGTAAAGACGCGACCCGATTTTTTATTTACAACTACCCAAGACGCGGAGTCCTATCGGGTTGTGTGTAGTCGTAGCGGTATGGGTCAGTCAGTCGGCATGTTTTCACCGTATTTGTTTAGCCATTTTGTGCCCCACTGTCTACTAGGTTTGTCCGTCTGATATAACTTACCATATTTGAGAGAGCGACCTTATCTTTAGGTACAACTAGCGTAATATCAAACATAGCTTTAACTGCTGGTTCATCCCAACAAGGAAACGCTCGTCGTGCATCTGTTGCCTAAAACAAATAGAATAAACCCCATTAAAACTGAGAATTCATTGATGTTATTAAATAAAAAATAGTCCATCAAATTCTGTGTTAAAAAAATGGTTATAGTGAAGTTATCTTAAACTGTACCATAGACGACGCTGGAAATTTGTCAGAATTCAAATCCAACAAGGTTTTGTTGAGTCAAAATATGTGTATAAGACATGGGTTTAAAGTGTTACCTCAAAATGCGTAACTGCGTTAAAAGCCGTCTGTCCATCTTGTGTTGTATACTGACTTCTATAGAATCCTTTCATTTTATTATTCAACTCCCCACTATAGGTTAAACAAAGATCACCTTCCCCAGCCTAAAATATAAATCAAACAGCTTATGTTAAATATATTTCACCATCACCAGGCTAAAATATAAATCAAACAGCTTTATGTTAAATACTGTTCACCATCACCAGGCTAAGATATAAATCAAACAGCTCTATATTAAATATATTCCACCATCACCAGGCTAAAATATAAATCAAACAGCTTTATGTTAAATACTGTTCACCATCACCAGGCTAAAATATAAATCAAACAGCTCTATATTAAATATATTCCACCATCACCAGGCTAAAATATAAATTGAAATGAAATGAAACGGGATTTCATTTTCTTTTTCTGCATCAAACAGGCTACCGAAGACCAGAATAGCAAACAACATGCAGTTTCTGCCAACTCTTCGTCGAATTCCAAGCCAAGGTTTTTTTTAATGTGCACACTCAACCGCGGTTTCTATACCATTCGATTGCTTTTCCTTATCAGGCTCCCAGTTCTGCACAACTTTTTTTGCCGGAACCAGGATTGAAGCTTGAACCATCGAAAACGGAATGGCTGTATGTTAAATAAAGTTCGACCACCTATTAATTGTAAGACGTTTACCTGTAAAATAAGGTTTGACTACCTGTTAATAAGAAGATGTTTACCTGTAAAGGTGTAGTAAAGGTAAAGGTAACTGTTTCTTCTATAGCTGATCCATATTTTATACTACCTTCAAACTTATCACTTGATCCTATAAAATACATACTTATACACTGGGTAGTTGGGTGGTCTAATGGGTAAGATTTAGTGCGTAAGGTATATGAAGTGGTGCTGTTTTGATCCTAAGCTTGCTTGTATGTGACAAGGAGGAAGGTTGCCTGTCAAAACTTGTGGGTTTTCTTCAGGTCCTCCAGTTTCCCCCACTAAAAGACCCCTACATGCAAGAATTATTGAATAATATTTGACCACTGCGATTTTATAGCAATAGTGATAATTCACGTAGCAATAGTGATAATTCACGTAGCAATAGTGATAATTCATGTAGCAATATTGATAATTCATGTAGCAATATTGATAATTCACGTAGCAATAGTGATAATTCACGTAGCAATAGTGATAATTCATGTAGCAATAGTGATAATTCATGTAGCAATAGTGATAATTCATGTAGCAATATTGATAATTCATGTAGCAATAGTGATAATTCATGTAGCAATAGTGATAATTCATGTAGCAATAGTGATAATTCATGTAGCAATAGTGATAATTCACTTAGCAACAGTGATAATTCATGTAGCACTAGTGATAATTCACGTAGCAATATTGATAATTCATGTGTGGCGAAAATGTAGTACATATATTTACTCTTATAATGCAAAACAATATTCTAGGGGGAACTAGTGTCGCTAGCTGTGAAATTCTTTTGTCATTTGAATTTAGTTATTCATTATTAAGATTTAAGTCACAATTCTGCGGTCCGTAATGTCGTTAGACATGGAATAAAACTGATAAATGTGTGAAATATGCCATGGATAATCATATAACTTCATTTCGAAGTTATTGTATTACAACTCAAAATTATCAAGATCAGTGTGTTTTCTATAGAGTATGTGATAATACATGTGAGCTTCTAAAATAACTTTCCTATGGCCAATTCAGCACTTTATTTGTCTTTAACCACATGCACATGCCATGATTGAAAACTTAAAGCCTCTTGCTATGAATATATGTTAATTTAGATTGAGTTAAAATATATCAAAAACTCACCTTTAGGAGTGAAATAAACTGTTTTAACTTTTATATCTAAAGCATGACATGTTATTGTACTGGTTGTTTTCGTTATCTAAAACATACAAAAATCATAAATGCAAAAAAAATACAATAAATTTTCTCCAGTGCTCTAGACAAGTGTCATCAAGTGTTCTAGACAACAGGTCTATCATCTACAGGGATGTTGTACTAAGTGTTCTAGACTTATCATCCACAGTGATGTGTCATTAAGTGTTCTATATAATAGTTTCCAGTGTACCATATTGCCACATTGAATGTTATATACGACTCCCCCCACCCCACCCGGATCCATTCATCTGATTTTGGGGTGTTGGGTGGCTTAGTGGTTAGCACATGTGCGCTCTATCATTAAGTCTGTCATTGAGTCACCTGGCGTGGTTTCGAATCCCTGGTTGCACGTGTCCAACCTCGTGGGTTTTCTCCGGGTCCTCCAGTTTCCTCCCACTGCTAAAGATCTCTACACGCAAGCGAATTATTGAAATAAATTTGAACCTTATGTTAGTCCCGAAATGACCTAGTTTGTGTCGAGTGGATGGTAAACCCCATTTCTCTCTCTCATCTGATTTGATATATGTTGTTTATTTCTTGCAATGTCTGTGTAGTCTGTCTTGTTGTAATTGTTTTTCAGGTTTGTCTTGACTGTTTTTGTTTTGCGAGTAATGATGTTCTCCTGCAGTTAATATTTTACAGCAATCAAGATGTCTACTATGCTTTATTAGACATTTGGATGGGACGAAATACTGAGGTCCTGTGTACAAACTGACATGTACGTAAAAAATACATGTATTATCTTACACTTACCTGTACAGAGATTTTTTCTTCTCCATCAAAAACAAAGTTGGTAAGATCTGGTGTCAAGGTGATGTTATAGTTAACGGGTACAACATTAGTTGACAAACGCTCAAATTCTGGTCGTTCGTCGCCTGGCATCTTCCTAGATTTCTTTACAGTGATATCAAGTTCTTTCTTCTAAATCTGAAATATTTTAAAATTTGCATATAGAATTACAATGAAATGAGGTTCAACGTCCTATTATTCTGTACAAATGATGTTAATGAAAACCTGCATTTACCCATCTTCAATAGAAGGCTTGATCTCGCTTTAACTACGTACATCTTATCAAGGCCTTCACATAATACCCTACAAATGTCGGCACTAATTTCGATTGGGTACGCCCAGCCTGTGAGCCTATCAGATTCCTTGATCGTCGCGAATACCACGTCTCGCGCTTTGAAGCTAAAATGTCTACCTGTGATAATCGAGTTGCAAAGTTCAAGGTTCATTGAATGTTAAGGTTTCCGTGGAGGTCTTGATGTCACAACGTCTGACTGGACGCTACTGCTCACGGGTCTGTAGATAACATAGCTATAAGTTCGGGAATTGTGAAGTAAACAAGCAACGTCCAGATGTTGTAAAACTCGCAGTCGTTGCTTCAGGAACATGGCATTCACCATGAAGGCTTTTCTGCCTACTCTACATTAGTCACGTGTTGTCGTGAAATATCGTTTTTATGGGGTTTTTTTTCGTTGCTTCAGTAACTACCACTCTTAATTATCCATGTCATAGGTACACAAACACTCTAAAATTGTTTTGGTCCTTTTTTTGAACCACTTCAATATCGTGATATAAAACAGTTTTATCTTCTTCATCGGCTGGTGGGCATAAAATATCAATGATTCATTTATCCTGTTGTTTTTTTGTAAAATATTGACCTATGAATTGTGATACGAATCTTATCATAGCACCTGAATCGCAAGATGCATTGTATCATGACTGCAGTAGCTATACCTGCATATAATTCCAACTTTCAATTTAATTCCAATTTTTTTCCCCCAGGCTTACCTAAATTTCATTTCATCGTATATGGCAGAGTTCGTAAATTTTTGCGTTACCCTTTCAATGAAGTCAGTGAAGGCCGTAAGAAGAGTGGGACGTATTTTTTAACAGCGTGTTGTGTCGCTCATACTGGTTCTAGCGACGTAAGCAAGGTCTTATTTTCTAACTAAGATGTTCAATTACATTGTTCAGGCGCTCACAGGGACTGACAGTGACACAGACCCTTTAGCAGTAAAAAGTTGCCCAGTAAAATTGACTGGGTAGCCATTAGATTCAATAGGACAGTTGCTGAAGGCACAGGTCGAGTGTAATGAGACCTAGCTACGTTCAGAGCTGAACTACATGGAACTATACTATAGCACCATCTCTTATCTCGAAACACGGAGGGTTGAGAGATGAGGTTTGTTATCTAGTATTCTAAGAAAAAACAATATATAACACACGTGAGTGTTGAGAAGAAAAAAAAAAGAAATTTATAAACTTCCGTATGTGTGGTGCAAACGTGCAATCCCCAATGTTAAATATTGACCAAAAGTTGACAAACCCGTTTGTTGTATTTCGCTCTCTCGACCTCGTCTCTGCAAAAATTACTTCTTTCAAACAGAATCGGCCTACAAGTTCTCTAACAGATGCTGTTGAATCATTAAATTGATTTATTCATCCCTCTATTTACATGACAACGTGTTTGTTTATTAATTGGTCGCTACGATTGAAATATTCCCTCGCTCGCCGGTAAATAAACTCAATCGATACGACAGCTCCAAACACTTACCACAACCCAAGCGAAACCAGTTCGAGACTACCCAAAGGCAACTATAATCAATTACCCCTAAGTACCACTAGAATTTCCAGTCAACAAACTCGGTCGATGGTTGGGCTAAAATTTGGGAATAGTTTGTTTGACTGAAATAAAAAACGCACTAACTCAAATTTGATTACATCGTTTTTTGTCTATTTTGATTATTTTCCCCCAAGTTCAAATCTGACAGTTGAAGTCACAACTTTATTGAGATTTTCCTTCCAATAGCAATCCCCTAAACAACGTGTTGACCTCTCTTTGCGAGTAAGGTCGTCATCTAGGGTTAAGGGTCAACGACTGACGTCATCAACTGAAAACAATGGCCGTACTAATATAAACAACTTGAATTAAGTCTGTGTCCGATGCATAAAACTGATGACAGCATAGTATCTAGTCGCTTCGGAATAAAAACAACCGTGTGGAGGGATTTATAGAGGAGTAGGCTACATGTTGTTATCTTAGTTACTGCCACCACTGCTTAATAAAGTCAAGCTTTACGTTTTTCCTCGTCATATTGAGCGACTGGATTATTCGACTGGATTATTCGACTGAATTATCTGCTTGATTTTTTTTTCGACCGGATTATTTGACTGTTTTTTCGGCTATCCCCGGCCCTAAATACCTATTTATCTGACTACTTTTGCCCCATAAATTGAACTTGAAACTATTTGGCAGGGGAGGGAGGTGCAAACCCCCGGCTCTTTTACAGCTATGGCTATGGGTATGACTGAACTACTCGGTATTATCTTAGTTCACTGCAATTCCTGCTTATTATTGAACGGCTGTTTTTAACTTCTCATCATATAACTGTCAAAAGCACATTTTGTCAACTTGATCTGGTATGAAGACCCAACTTGATCTGGGATGTGGATTTATCGACAGTGATATTCCTCTAGTTTTATTGACTGAGATATTCGACTTGTTTTATTGACTGTGATATTCGACTGGTTTTATCATGGTATTATAAGGTCCATGGTTTTATCGACTGAGGTATTTGACTTATTTTATCGACTGAGATATTCGACTTATTTTATCGGACTGGTTTTATCGACTGAATTATTTGACTCGTTTTATTGACTGAGATATTTGACTGGCTTTATCGTCTGGATGAGGCCACAATAAAATAGTTTTATTGACTGGGATATTTGACTTTTTTCGACAATAAAATCAGTCAAATAATTCAGTTGACAGAACCAGTCGAATAATTCAGTCAACAAAACCAGTCAAATAATCCAGTTGAAAAAAAACAGTCAAATAATCTAGTCAACAAAACCAGTTGAATAATCCTGGCGAAAAAACAGTCAAATATCCCAGTCGATAAAACCAGTCGCTCAATATTAAGTACCGGTGGCAGTGAGCTAAGGTAATATAGAATAGCCCAATCATGGTCGTAGCCAGGGGCTTCACCCCCCGCCCCTCCCAACTACTTTAAAGTCAGATTTTTCGGGCAAAAGTCTTATGATCTAGGTATTTAGTTGATACATGTACTAAACGGAGAGTAATGTTTTTGGCCCGTCATCTAAGTGAATAGAATCCTACATAGGCCTGTAGTCAGGGGCTGGGGGTATTGGACGAGTCAGGGTTTTTTTTGTGACCTTGTCAAGTCGAATATTTCAGTGTATATTTCAGTCGAAAAAAAGCAGTCGCTTGACTTGATGGTGGAGGACCATACTTTATGAATCACTAATTGGAGTGAACTAAGATAACAATAAGTAGCCTGGAGCCACAGTGGCTAAGTGAGTAAGACACTGGCTCGCTAGCCTGGAGGTTTGTTCCTGGTATTGGCCGAAAAAGTTCCTCAGGATTTTCCGGGTGGTTTCCCCCTGTCAGTGGGGCAGTCGTTTGGATGGGATGAAAAACCAAGGTCCCATGTACACATTGGCATACATGTAAAAGATCCCCTGTATGGCATATGCCTGACTTTATTAGCTCAGTCGGTGCACAACAGTAGGACGTTAAAGCCCATTTTATTTCATTGAGTAGCCCTTTCATGCTCATAACACGGTTCCACTTTCAGGGAATGTATCTGGTTGAGTGTGTTCTCTAAGTATCGGAAATGAATACAGATTTTTCGAATAGATCTTCAACACTTTATTTCAAGAGCAAATAAATAACAGCAACAAGTAAACAACTTATATCTTCCTATAAATTGGTCCTCCACTTGGTACATAGGTTCCCTCAGCTGGTCTCTCCAACTATAATTCATCTTACATACATTTTTCTTTTTATATAGATTAGTTACTATGAAAGTATTGACATAAACATATAATTATTGAAGGATTAAGTCATTTAAACAATAGTAAAAGAAACTTAACAGACCACCCACTTTAGTTATTTAAATCGACTGACAAATTAATTGCTGTCTGCTTCTAATGACTAACCAAGTGAACCAAGATCAATAAGTAGCCTGGAACAACAGTGGCTAAGTGAGTAAGGCGCTGGTTCGCTAGCCTGGAGGTCGCGGGTTCGTTCTCGGTATTGGCGGAGACAGTTCCTCAGGATTTTATCCAGGTGGTTTCCCCTTGTCCGTAGGGCAGGACGGAGGGTGTGACAAAAACTACAGCTGTCTAGTCTTTCGGGTGGCATGAAAAACCAAGGTCCCATGTACACATTGGCGTGCATGTAAAAGATCCCTTGGCAGTTGGAATTCAATATATAAGAGTAGGCTGTAGCGCTACTGTCGGGGCAAAATTTCCCTTGTAGCACACTGTATGGCATATGCCCATCTTCATTAGCCTAGTCGGTGCACAACAGAAGGATGTTAAACCCCATTTCACTTCATTATGTAGCGGGAGTGATTAAGTGGGTAAGACGCCGGCTCGCTAGTCTGGAGGTTACATGTAGGTGTTCGATCCCTGCATTGCCCGAAAGAGTTCATCCAGATTGTCCGGTGTGATTCCCCTTTGTCAGTGATGCAGGACAGAGGGCCTGACAAGGTTAGCTGTGTAGTCATTCGGATGGGATGACAAAACGAGGTCCTGTGTACACATTGGAATAAACGTAAAAGATTCCTTGACAGGTGGAATTCGATATAAGAGTAGGCTGTAGTGCACTGTCCAGACAAAATTTCCCTCATGGCACACTGTATGGCGTATGCCCGTCTTCATTAGCCCAACAGTAGGACGTTAAAGTCCATTTCATTTCATATTATTAAGTAGCCCTTTCATGCTCATAACATAGTTCGACTTTCAGGGAATGTATCGCGTGGAGTGTGTTCTCTAAGTATTGGAAATGACTACAGATTCTTTGAATAGATCTTCAACACTTTATTTCAGGAGCAAATAAATAACAGCAACAAGTAAACAACTTATAACTTATAACTTCCTATAAATCAGTCCTGCAACTAAGTTGGTCTCTCCAACTACTGTATAATTCATCCTACATACACTTGTCTTTTTATATAAATTAGTTACTATGAAAGTGTTGAAATAAGCATATTTAAAATAATAGTTAAAGAAACTGAAGAGATCAAACACTCTAGTTGCCAGCCTGTCATAATTTATATGGAGTGACAAATTAATTGTTGTCTGCTTCTAATGACTAACCAAGCATTAATGAATGTTAAAATATAGATTTGAAATTAAAAATAGAATTAAACAATAATAAAATAACATATGACCTATACATTAGTCATGTGTATCCACCTTAAAATTATTTCAAACAAAAACATGACCCCATGTTTTAATCATTAATACAATCAAAATCCTTATTTTTCCATTATTCAAAATAACATAATCTATAACTATTTTCACGATAATAATTTCTATTCCTGTACAAAGGATTCCTGCTGTAAGGCCTAAAATGTCTAAATCTGTGATCTTGAGTCTTGACGGCTGGTGCATTTGGCACTAAAACTTGAAACATCTCGCATGGCTGCAACCTTTATCATGGCAATTGGCAGGATGACACCATTAACACAAGGTTATTAAAAAAAGATACATCGTTAGTATCCAGAACATTTTGAACACCCGCATCCTTTTTACTGGAGGTCACAGAAACCTGTACTTTTTGGGCACCCTTTGCAAAAAATTCCAGCTGTCGCTGTCTATCCCTTTGTATTTGGACAAAAGAACGATATTTCTTTTCCGGACTGGGTAATTAATTTTCTGAGAAGTCCCTTTTAAAGCCCATTTAAACCCCTGTTTGAAACTCCAAGACACTGATAGTTGATCAAGATTTCTTATTGCTGCTACTGCTGCTGAAGGAAGAATAAAGTTGATATCCATGCCTTCTTCTTCAATATATTATGTACAATTTGACTAGCAGGGAATGTAGCTCTTCGACGTGTGTTCTCTTAGGATCAGAAATGAATACAGATTCTTGGACTGGATCTTCAACACTTTATTTCAGGAGCAAATAGTGCCTACATAACAGCAACAATTAAACAACTTATAACTTCCTATAAATCGGATCCCCAATTACATGTAGTATATAGGTTTCCTAGGTCTCTCCAAGTAATGATTCATCTTACATAAATCTGACATTTTAACGTGGCCTCGTCCAGACGATAAAATCCCACACATATCTCAGTCGATAAAATCAGTCAAATACTTCAGTCGATGAAACCAGTCGGAAAAACAGCCCATTGAGTAGCTCAATGTTCGTTGCCATAGCTGTAGGAGCCGAGGGCTTGGGCGGGGTTTGGTCCTCACCCGTCGCAGGAGATAATTGTACTTAAGTAGATACTAATATTGTCGGCCCCAACCTCGAAAAGAATAGTCCCTATATATGACCATAGAAACGGGGTGTTGGTGGAATGGGAGGGGCCCTGTGCGTGGGAGCGAAAATACTAGTATCTAAAGTACATGTATCACTTAAGACTTGAAACTAGTTGGGAAGCCCCCCGGCCCCTACCCAATGCCCCCGGATCCTTCAGTTATGGCTACGAGCATGATTTGCTAATGAAGACGGGCCTACGCCATACACTGTGCTATGAGGGAAATTTTGCCCGGACAGCGGCACTACGG